CTGGCGCGCTCGCTTTAACACGTCTTTAGTTAGATGGCGTTTTGTGTAGATTTTTTACTTGAAATCGTGGACTTCTTTAAAAATCACGAGAATAGAACGTGATTCAAATTGTTACTTGGGGAAAAAAGCAATAACCAACAACAACCCAAAAACAAAATTTAGATAAAACCACAAAACAAAACAACCCCCCAACCCCCCCCCCAAACAACAAGAACAAAAACAAAACACAAATACAAACAAACACCCCCCCCCCCCCAGAAAACCCCCCGGGTATACAGTAGTCACTGAAAAGTGTCTTTGAACATACAATGCAAAAAGCTTCCTTTTCACTTAGTGCTATCGTAATTTACTGGTATTTACCAGCTTAACTACCTCTTCCACCGTCATTACTGGATGTAAAGTGTAGGCGTATACAATACGGACATTGTCGTCTGCAGTGACTGAAGAGCACTCATGACTGTCGCCGTCACCGATGTCTTTTTGACCTGTTTCCTGTTCAGATGTACTTTTCCATTTGACCGTCTCTCGCTTTTTCTCCTCTTCCAGTGACAAACAAAGGCTTTGACTGAACTGGTGTGTGGGTGAATGAATATCTGTTCGGTCACAGGAATTTCCCTCACGTTAGATCTTTAGTAAGAGTGCATTTTGTGTAGATTTTATTTGTTTACGCGTTTCTTCAGCTGTAACAGATTTTTAGTTTTTTCCCCTTACACTTACTGTAAACAACATTGCCGTGTATAATATGCTTATTGTTCATTCGATGGGACGTTCAACATATTTGTGCTGACCACACCCATGATCTTAGGGTAGATAAGATCGAACTCTTAGCCTTCTTGGATAAGGGCAAAAAAATATCCGATGTCTCGTGTGCAAGATATTTTATTTATTTATTTATTTATTTATTTATTTATTTATTTATTTATTTATTTATGGGGAGGGGGTTGTTGCTGCAGCGATATGGGGATTATTTTGGAGGGGGATTTCCGTTGGCGATGTGGAGGTCGCTTCAGACTAAGAATGTCAATGCTCTTGCAGTCATATGAAATCATCTCTTGGTGTAATCCCCCCCCCCCCTGGCCACGTACGCACACACACACACACACACGCACGTACACACACACACACACACACACACACACACACACACACATACACACACACACAAACACATACACACAAACACATACACACAAACACACACAAACACTCTCACACACAAGAAAATGACTCGAATCCAAAACATAGTTATTCCCTCTCCGTTCCCAACGAAGAAACGAACTTTTCAAATATCCACGAAAAGCCCCAAACAAAATTAGCTCGTATCCTGAGCAATGGGTCTCTGGGTCTAACCGGAGGCAAAAAAGTAGAGACGCGTCACTCCTCGATTTAGGCGAGATTGGGGTCAGGCATCCGGTGAAAGTTTCACGCCGTACAACTAATAGTCTGTTCCTCACTACCGAGGAATCACCTTATTGTTTTCATTGTAAATTAAGCAAAGGGGTTTGTCTGAATGGGTTTTAAACACCATTTCTCTTCCTTTACCATCACGTCATACCCACATCCACACATGAAACAGTCAGAACATTCTAGTAATTCTAGTCAATATTTTAATTAAAATTTCAAAACATACCTAACTGCATGTTTCCTCTCGGTCGGTACAATTATTGGCCTCTTGGTCACGTCCCCTCTCCTTATTCCTGGCCTGCATCTCATTGCATTAGTGCGCACAATACGCCAAATCTTTTCTATTCTTCTTCTTCTACACCTTTTTCTTTGTCATTTTCTTCTTGTTCTTGCTCTTGTTCTTCATGTTCTTCTTCTTCTTCTTCTTGCTCTTCTTCTTCTTCTTCTTCTTCTTTTTCTTCTTCTTCTTCTTCTTCTTCTTCTTCTTCTTCTTCTTCTTCTTCTTCTT